AATCGAAAAAGAAGTAATCCTCCCAAATTCTTTCTATGAAGCCAGCATCACCTTAATTCCCAAGCCGGAAAAAGATGCAGCATTGAAAGAGAATTACAGACCAATATCCCTGATGAACATAGATGCAAAAATCCTCAATAAAATTCTGGATAATAGAATGCAACAACACATCAGAAAGATCACCCACCCAGACCAAGTGGGACTTATCCCTGGTATGCAGGGATGGTTCAACATTCGCAAATCAATCAACGTGATACACCTCATTAACAGACTGCAGAAGAAAAACCATATGATTATCTCAGTAGACGCAGAGAAAGCATTTGATAAAATACAACACCCTTTCATGATGAAAACTCTAAGCAAACTGGGTATGGAAGGAAAATTCCTCAACACAATCAAAGCAATTTATTTAAAACCCATGGCCAACATCCTATTGAATGGGGAAAAGTTGGAAGCATTTCCACTGAGATCTGGTACCAGACAGGGATGCCCACTCTCACCACTGCTATTCAATATAGTTCTGGAAGTTTTAGCCAGAGCTATTAGGCAAGAAAAAGAAATTAAAGGGATACAAATTGGGAAGGAAGAACTCAAACTATCCCTCTTTGCAGATGATGGGATTCTTTACTTAGGGGACCCAAAGAACTCTACTAAGAGACTATTGGAACTCATAGAAGAGTTTGGCAAAGTAGCAGGATATAAAATCAATGCACAAAAATCAACAGCCTTTGTATGCACAGGCAATGCCACAGCCGAGGAAGAATTCTAAGATCAATCCCATTCACAATAGCTACAAAAACAATCAAATACCTTGGAATGAAGTTAACCAAGGATGTTAAAGATCTCAACGATGAAAATTACAAAACCTTAAAGAAAGAAATAGAAGAGGATACCAAAAATGGAAAAATCTTCCATGCTCATCGATGGGAAGAATCAATAAATCAAAATGTCCATGCTCCCAAAAGCAATTTACACATTCAATGCGATATCAATCCAAATACTGAAGACATTCTTCTCAGATCTAGAAAAAATGATGCTGAAATTCATATGGAGACACAGGAGACCTCGAAGAGCTAAAGCAATCTTGGACAACAAAAACAAAGCCAGAGGCATCACAATACCAGATTTCAGGACATAGTACATGGCAGTTGTTATCAAAACAGCATGGTACTGGTACAGAAACAGATGGATAGACCAATGGAACAGAATTGAAACACTAGAAATCAATCCAAACATCTATAACCAACTTATATTTGATCAAGGATCTAAAACCAATCCCTGGAGTAAGGACAGTCTATTCAATAAATGGTGCAGGGAAAACTAGATTTCCACGTGCAGAATCATGAAGCAAGAGCCCTACCTTTCACCCTACACAAAAATTCACTCAACATGGATTAAAGACTTAAATCTACGACCTGACACCATCACATTATTAGAGAGCATTGGAAAAACCCTGCAAGATATAGGTACGGGCAAAGACTTCCTAGAAAAGACCCCGGAGGCACAGGCAGTCAAAGCCAAAATATTAACTGTTGGCATTGCATCAAATTGAGAAGTTTCTGTACTGCAAAAGAGCAGTCAGTAGTGTGAAGAGGTAACCGACAGAATGGGAAAAAATATTTGCAAACTACGCAACAGATAAAGGGTTGATAACCAAAATCTACAAAGAAATCAAGAAACTCCACAACATCAAAACAAACAACCCACTTAAGAGATGGGACAAGGATCTCAATAGACATTTTTCAAAAGAGGAAATCCAAATGGCCAACAGACTCATGAAAAAATGTTCAAGGTCACTAGCAATCAGGGAAATGCAAATCAAAACCACAATGAGGTTTCACCTCACCCCGGTTAGAATGGCTCACATTCAGAAATCTACCAACAATCGATGCTGGAGAGGATGTGGGGAAAAAGGGACACTAACCCACTGTTGGTGGGAATGCAAACTGGTCAAGCCACTATGGAAGTCAGTCTGGAGATTCCTCAGAAACCTGAAGATAACCCTACCACTCAACCCAGCCATCCCACTCCTTGGAATTTACCCAAAGGAAATGAAATTGGCAAACAAAAAAGCTGTCTGCACCTTAATGTTTATTGCAGCTCAATTCACAATAGCTAAGACCTGGAACCAACCCAAATGCCCATCAACAGTAGACTGGATAAAGAAATTATGGGACATGTACTCTATAGAATACTATACAGCAGTCAAAAACAATGAAACCCAGTGATTTGCAACAAGATGGAGGAATTTTGAAAACATCATGCGGAGTGAATTGAGCCAGTCCCAAAGGGACAAATATCATACATTCTCCCTGATCGGCGACAACTAACTGAGCACCAAAGGGGAAACTTGTTGAAGTGAAATGGACACTATGAGAAACAGTGACCTGATCAGCTCTTGTCCTGACGGTTGATGTACAATGTAATACTTCATCCATTTTAGTATTTTTTTGTTTTATTCTAGTACTATTGGTTGAACTCTGTAATTAACACACAATTATTCGTAGGTGTTTAAATTTTAACTGAAAAGTGATACCTGTTAAATATAAGAGCAGGAATAAGAGAGGGAGGTGATGTACAATTTGGGACATACTCAATCGGACTTGCCCCGAATGGTGCCAGGGGATTCCAATACAATCCCATCAAGGTGGCATGTACGAATGCCATCTCACTAGTCCAAGTGATCAATATCAGTTCACAATTGATCACACTGATAGGTCTAAGAGTCAAAGGGATCACACAAACAAGACTAGTGTCTGCTAATACTACCTGATAGAATAAAAAAGGGAGAGAACGATCTATCATGGGAAGTGGGATACACAGCAGACTCATAGAATGGCAGATGTCCTAAATAGCACTCTGGCCTCAGAATCAGCCCTTAAGGCATTCAGATCTGGCTGAAGAGCCCATGAGAGTATTTTAGGCATGGAAAGCCAAGACACTCTGGCAAAAAAAAAAAAAAAAAAAAAAAAAAAATGACCTAAATGAAAGATCTCTGCGAGTGAGATCCCAGTGGAAAGAACGGGCCCATCAAAGAGGGAGGTACCTTTCTCTGAAGGGAGGAGCGAACTCACTTTGACTATGACCCTGTGAATAAGATCGAAGTCAGCGAACTCTAAAGCCTCATAGCTGCAACTCATGACTAGAGCTAGGGAGATAC